CCTGGGTAGGAGGAAGCATCTGTAGGTTTCTTGGCACCTCATCATTCTGGGTTCCTTGTCTATTAACATTGCTGTAGCCACCCACATACTGTCCTAATTACACTGTTATGGCACCCTCAAGCTTCACTTGTAGTCTTGCTGTTGTCATCAACCCCCTTACCAATATCACATCACCCTATCACCATCACCATACACATACCATCATCCCTACCTCCATCATCACCACCATCACTATTACCATCACCATTACTATGATATCACCATCGCATTGCTCATATCACTATTATCACACTATCATTCCCATCACCCCCATCACATCCTGGCCCTGACATCACCTTCATTACCTCAACCAGTATCACCATTACTAGGACCATCATCATAACTACAATCACCATCACTTCTATCACTGCTACCACCACCCCACCTCTGATATTATCTCCATTATCATCACCATGTCTACCACCATCATCATCACCATTACCATCTCTACTACTTGCTTCATTTCTATCATTATCAACAACATGTCTACCTCAACTAGTATTCACATTACCATGACCAGCAATACCCCCATCACTGTCATCACTACTACCACCATTATCATTACCACCACCTTCCTCATCACTACCACCATCTCCTCTATGACCACTGCCACCGCCACATCTACCTCAGCCAGCTAACCATTACCTCTAGCTCAACCATGACAATTGTCATCACCACCTCCAACACCACCTCTGACATCACACCATCACCACCTGCATCATCATCATCATCATCATTATCACCATGCCCATGTCCACCACTCCCACCACCTTCACCTGAGCAGCTATCATCATGATACAGGTACACAGCTGCTGACTATAGGACAGGCATGAAGATATTTAATAAAGTGTCCACAACCTTCGAGCAACCCAGGGGAGTAAAGATCAAGGAAGCAAGTCACTGCTGATGGTCTCAGCCTGCAGCTCCAAGGAGAGCAGATCTCAAGAGCTCACCAGGAAGCTGCTGGGAATCTCAGGATATTCTTGGACGCTGCCCCGGAATATCTCAGCCTCCAGGTCTGAAGCAGGGGATTCTCAGAAAATTGCCCAGAAGTTGCTGTGAACCTTTGGGTTGTCATCTGCCTACAATTGCCTCTTTTCCACTTTCCAAATCTCATGAATTGAAAGACTCTAATCTGGGACCATATGGGTAAGGGGATTCTATAAAATCTTCCAGAATTCTCTGCTCTGCAGAGAAGACTATAGAAGAAGATGGTGGTAGTGCTGAGTTACCAACAGGAAATATAGAACACCACACCTCCAGTATCATTACCCCCTCTCTCGGCACGATGGCTATAGCAGTCATTCCTACCAGCGTATCATTCCCACCACTTTTAGCATCCCCACTATTTTTCATTACTATCACAGTTATGCCACCGACATCACCATGCATCACCATTTCCACTTCCATAACTAGCAGTAGCACCACCATTTCTACCAGGGCCATCATTATCACAGCCTCCACCACCCCCATTATCACCTGTAGCACACTGCAATATTGACCACTCCCTCCCTATAAGAGTATTGTGCCTTACCATCCTCACTCGGGATGAGTATGGGAGGCAACCAATCGATGTTTCTCTCTCTTTCTCTTTCTCCCTCTCCCTTCCTCTCTCTCTAGAACAGTGGTGGTGAACCTTTTGAGCTCGGCGTGTCAGCATTTTGAAAAACTCTGACTTAACTCTGGTGCCGTGTCACATATAGAAATTTTTTGATATTTGCAACCATAGTATAAAAAGATTTATATTTTTGATATTTATTTTATATATTTAAATGCCATTTAACAAAGAAAAATCAACCAAAAAAATGAGTTCGCGTGTCAGAGGTGTCATAGGTTCGCCATCACTGCTCTAGAATCAATGAAAAACATATCCTCTGGTGAGGATTGAAAAAAAAAAAGAGAGAGTATTGTGCATCTCCAGATCTTGACTGATATTTGCAGAACTTTCCTAAAGGAGTACTATTCCACTCCATTGACACTGGTTTTGACTACATGTCGTGAACAAGAGTGACACACGTCACATCCCAACAGAAGATTTAAGAGGCAGCCCAAGTCTCTACCAGCTCTTACTTGCACCCTTTCTGCCATGAGAATGGTATGTTTCAGATTAGAGCCACTTCCGCAGCCTGGGATCCAGAATGAGACGGCATGTGGGTGGAGCCCAGCAGCTGACCCATGGGTGCTAACAAGTAAAGTGGAAAAGAACTAAATGTTTTTCAAAAGGCATGGAAGTGTGGGGGTTGTTACTGTAGCAAAGCTGTATAACACGCAATTTTTACTACCTCACTGCCTTCATCACCACCATTACCACCACAAACCTCATCAACAGCTCTGCTAGTAGCCACGTCCATCACACCTCCACCATCGCTATCAACACCTCTTCACCACTGGTCTCACAGTTACCATCCCTTCCATTGTTACCATGACCACTACTACCACTGCCACCATAAGTGACTGTCTCCACCAACATCCTCACCACCATTACCTCCACTAGCACCACTTTCGCCATTGTCAACTCCATTATCACACCAATACTGCTACGCTAATGACTTCTACTGTTTCAATGATGCCTTATCTGTCACCATGCATACCTCGCTTTGTCATGTCCCTACAGTCACCATAGTCAACAACAGCACTACTCCCAATGTCATCGTCATGGAGAATTATGTGGGTTGGTATCTTTCCCCAGTTTCAATAGACAAGTCTGTCAAGAACAGGTTCTAACTACAGTGGCAGAAATATAGTTACAAAATGTAAAAGTATTTTCATCTGTAGCTAAGCCCAATGAAGTTATTCTGTTACTCAGTTCCTCTACCAAGCGACATGACTTATGTGTGTTAGTCAGTGTGGGTGGATGGATGTGGGGGCACAGAGAGCAAGCCCTGCTCTTGGTAAGGTATGTGGGGTGATGGTGTTTATCTCTAGGTTGGATTTGCAAAGTGTCTCCAGATTCTGCTTTCATTCCTCCGGGCACCTGGAATTGGTGAGAACATGCTGTCCCCTGCAGGGTGCTGGGAACCTAGTACCAATGAGTGTTGAAGGAAAAGAGAAAGAGGGAGGGAGAATAATAAAAAGAAATAGACATTAGAAATAGGAAGAAGAGAAAGAAGAGAGGGCAGGAAGGAGGGATGAAGGAAGGGAAGAAGGAAGAGAAATGCCATCCTAGTTGATTCATAGATCCAAACAGCTAAGTTTCTCACTGGCTTGGTTAGGATGCAGTTTAGCCTGTTTTCCATCTTAACTGGAGGGAGGTCAGATGAAGGTAGGAATAGATGTTAATCAATATTGTTAATCGTCATTTCTAAAAAATGATGCAACATCAGAACAAGAATTTAAAAAAATAGAAATGCATCCTGTGTTAGTTTCTTTGGGCTACCATGACTAACACAGACTAGGGGGCTTAAAACAACAGAAATTTGTCCCCTCACAGTTATGGCAGCTAGAAGCCCCAAATTAAGTGTCATCCGTGCTGCAGTCCTTCCAGAGTCCCTGAGGGAGGACCCTTCCTTGCTCCTTCCAGCTTCTGGTAACTATCGGTTTTCCTTGTGCTGCATCACCCCCATTTCTGCCTCCATCATCTCATCACCCTCTCTTCTCTTGGTGTTCCTCTCTGTGTGTCTCTCATAAGGGTACTTGTCATTAGATTTAAAACCAACCCAGATAATCCAGGATGATCACATCTTGAGATCCCTAATTTAATTACATCTGTGAAGACTTTTCCAAATAAGGTCACATTCATAGATTCTGGCCACAATAACAGGGACATATCCTTTTGTGTGTGTGTGTGTGTGGGGGGGTGCTATTCTACCCACTACACTCACTAATCTATTGTTATTTTCAATCCCTATTTTTCTTTCCAGAATTGAGTGAAATGCTTCTTTTATTTATTTTTTGATCCTCACTGGAGGATATTTTTTCCATTAATTTCTAGAGAGAGTGGAAGGGAGGGAGGAGGGGAGATAGAGAGAAACAGTGACATGAGAAAGAGAAATCGCTAGATTGCCTCCTGTATGTGCCCCTACTGGGGCTGGGAACTTGCAACCCAGGTACATGTCCTTGACTGGGAATCGAACCCTTGACCTTTCAGTCTGCAGGCTGACGCTCTAACCCCTGAGAAAAACTGGCCAGGGCTAAATGCTTCTTTTGATTTGCTGTCCACTAGTCTCAGAAAAGCCCTGGGTTTGCATCTCCCTCTCTTGCACTGACATACTCTGTGACCTTGAGTATGTTGTTGCATGTCTCTGAGCTTCATTCATTCAACAAGTTGAACTGATTGCCAGGCACTGTCCTAGATGCTGGCAACCATCCCTGCCTTTGGTGGAGCTTACCTTTGAAGATCTGATAGGCTAATGGGGCCCAAGAAGAATGAACTCCTGCCCCCATCCTGCCTGAACCTCCACCTTGGGCCCCCTCAACCCATACCAACAATCCAGCCATTGACCATAACCCAGGAAGCCCTCACTCCCTTCCCTTGACCAACATCACTGAGCTTTGTTGCCCACGTGTGCCCAGATCCCGTGGCTGATCCCAGGCTTAGCCAACAGCCCCAACATTACCCAGCTCCGAGTCTCGGCCCACCGTGGTGGCCAGCCTTGTTCAGAGGGTCAGGCCAACATGCCCGGTGTTGCTGGGGCCAGAGCTGGGGGTGGATCTGCCCCGCCCAGGGGCTGATGTCATAAAGGGCCTGGTCTCAGCTGTGCTGGGGAACCTGCCTCTGCCTGGCCCCACAGTGGCAGTGTCCCTCCCCTCCCCCCACCCCTTTCAGTGGAGGTGTCCACCTGTCCCTGAAAGCTGGTACTATGAAAGGGTAAATTCGCTGGGCAGAGCCACGCCCAGAGCCAGCAAGACCCCTGCTGAGGGACCCACACCAGCTGCTGCCTCCTCCGCAGCCACCCTAATCACCTGGGCCCCTGGGCCCACCTCACCTTCTCACCCACCTCTGCCCCAATTCCCCCTTCAGCATGGTTAACTATTATGAAGTGCTGGGGGTACAGTCGAGTGCCACCCCGGAGGACATCAAGAAGGCCTACCGGAAGCTGGCCTTGCGCTGGCACCCTGACAAGAACCCTGACAACAAGGAAGAGGCTGAGAAGAAGTTCAAGCAGGTGTCCGAGGCCTACGAGGTCCTGTCCGACTCCAAGAAGCGCTCGCTATACGACCGGGCTGGCTGTGACAGCTGCGGGGCCGGTGGCGGGGCCAGCACCCCTTACAACAGCCCCTTTGACAGCGGCTACACCTTCCGCAACCCCGAGGACATCTTCCGCGAGTTTTTTGGTGGCCTGGATCCTTTCTCCTTTGACTTCTGGGTCGCCCCCTTCAACAGTGACCGTGCCAGCCAGGGCCATGGCCTGAGGGGCGCCTTCTCCAACTGCTTCGGTGAGTTCCCAGCCTTCATGGAGGCCTTCTCCGCTTTAGACAATCTGGGCCGCGGGGGAAGCGCTACCCGCACCACCTTCTCATCCACCTCCTTCGGGAGCTCTGGCTCTGGCAGCTCAGGGTTCAAGTCAGTGATGTCGTCCACCGAATTGGTTAATGGACACAGGGTCACCACCAAGCGCATTGTGGAGAACGGGCAGGAGCGTGTGGAAGTGCAAGAGGATGGGCAGCTGAAGTCGTTGACCATCAACGGCAAGGAGCAGCTTAAACGAGTGGACAGCAAGTAACCATGGCCACCCAGGTCCTGCACCCACCGCCTGACCGCCACCGCAGGCTGCTGGTTAATAAACGTTCCAAGTGAGTGCATCGAATCAGCTGGCCTGGCTTTGGGGTGGGGGGCACCTACGTGGACCTGCGCAGCGCTGGCTCCAGCACAAGTGGATGTGCAGAGGGGCCTGGGCCTCAGGGCTGCAGGCACTGCCTCCCAAATCCCGCTGTTGGGGACAGGGGTGGGAGGATGCAGGGGTGGTTCCGCAGGTGATTTATGATCTCTCATCTGTATCACATCAGTTGATAAATGTCATGACCATCGATCCATCTCAATCCAACCTTGTGTTCCACATCTACTATTTTAAAAAAAAAATGTTTGTATTGATTTCAGAGAGGAAGGGAGAGGGAGAGAAGCATCAATGATGAGAGAGAATCGTTGATCGGCTGCATGCCCCACACTGGGGATCGAGCCTGCGACCCAACCCAGGCATGTGCCCTGACCGGGAATCGAACCATGACCTCCTGGTTCATAGGTCGATGCTCAACCACTGAGCCACACCGGCCGGGCTCCACACCTACTATTAACGCCAGTGTGGTGACATCATCCTCACCAGGCTTTGGCCCCAACTTCCGGCCCCTGCTCCTCACAGGGATTCTTCCCGGTGTTGTTGTGCTAATGCCCACACTGCATCATGTGACCCACCTTGCTTTAAACCTTCAGTGACACTCTTTGCTCTAAGCATAAAGACCTCAGGCCTCATCCTCATCATGAGACCCTGGCGACCTGGCCTGCCCACCTTCCTGGTCTGGCTCCCACCAACTCTCATTCTCTGAACTGCACCCATCCTGGCCTTGCCTCTGTCCCTTCCTTGCACCCCATGCCTGGGAGCCTCAGGGCCTGCGCACAGGCCGTCTCCCACGTGCACGTCCACTCAGCTTCAGGCCTCTGCTCAAACATTGCTTCTTCAGGGAGTCCTGCCCTCACACCCCTGTTCTGAATTAGCTCCCCACCTGCCTGCTCTACTTTCTCCCGGCCCCGTCACCTGCTTTACCATGGCCCTTACGTATCCATCTGTGTTAGATGTGTGCCTCTCAATCACCCTGAGGAGCTAGGGAGCAGGGCCTGCCCTTGTTTGTCCCTCACTGTGTCCCCAGCCTCTAGAGCAGTGGTTCTCAACCTTCCTAATGCCGTGACCCTTTAATACAGTTCCTCATGTTGTGGTGACCCCCAATTTCATTGTTACAAACTGAACATAATTAAAGCATAGTGATTAATCACAAAAACAATATGTAATTATATATGTGTTTTCCGATGGTCTTAGGCGACTCTTGTGAAAGGGTTGTTCGACCCCCAAAGGGGTCGCGACCCACAGGTTGAGAACCGCTGCTCTAGAGCAATGCCTGGCTTCAAGGGCAGGGCACATATCTGTTGGGAGAATAAATGTCTCTGGGTGTTGTGTGTGTGTGGGGGGGGTGAGTGTAGTAGGATGTGTGCAAGTGTGTGTGATGTGATATGTGGGGGTGGCGATATGTGTGATGTGGTGTGGTGTGTGTGAGTGTGTGTCGTGTGTGTGATGTGGTATGAGCTGGAGTGTGGTATGTATGAGTGGTGTGTGTGTGATGCGGTATGGGGGTTTGGTGTGTGAAGTGGTGTGTGTGACGTGATGTGTGTGAGTGTGGTGTGTGTCTGTGTGTGTGTGATGTGTGCACGGTGTGTGTATGGGTGTGGCATGTGTGTGGTGAGGTTTGTGTGATGTGGGGTGGGTATGTGTCCGTGTGGTGTGGTGTGTGTGTGTCCATGTGTGTGAGTATTGGGTGCTGGGGCATTTGTGATGACTCCAGGCAGGACAAATAAGGGTCTACTGTTGGGAGGAAGTCGGTGCCAGAGCAGGAGATGGGACAGGAGCTGGGCCTGCTCAGGCCCCAGGGACAGTTTCAGGTGGGGGCTCCTGCTGCCTCTGTGGCACTGGGGGACCTGAGGGAGGGCAGCCTTCAGAATCAGGGCGGGCTCTGGGTGTGACACTCTAGTGTGGGCACTGAGGTGGTGGGGGGCATCCTTTGAGCAGTTGGCTGTGGCGGGGGACACAGGTACACGGGAGAGTTCACAGGTACATGGGCCGCTGTGGGCAGACAGACGGTGGGCACCTGGGAGAACTCCTGGGGGGTACTCTGAGGACTGGGACCCTCTTATATGACTTCCCAGGTGATGCCCACATGACCCTATGTGGCGGGGGTCTGTGTCATATGTGTGGGCACTCTGCACACATTTCTGGCTGTGTATGTGCAGCATGGAGCAGTGGAGGGCGGTTGGATTACAGTCTGCAGCCCCAGGAAACCATAAACTCTCAAAAACAGGAGCTCTGTTTTCCTCATTGCTGACCCCAGCACCTGGCTCAGGGGTTGTGAGGAGGTGTGTGTGGGGCCTGCTTGTAGCCATGCCTATGAGCCTGGGTGAGGTGTTATACCTGGGCCCAGGGCCTGTCCTCAGCATTGTATCCTCATTGAAGGAGCCACCAAAGGCACAGACCTCACACTCTCTGACACACTCAGCTGGGAGGGGAGCAGATCCAAGAGCTGTTGCCCAATTAGAAATAAGAAGATGCCCAGTCCTGAAAACTTGTAAATAATTCTGCTTTAAAGAGATGAAGGAAGTTAGGCTGGGGAGCCCTGGCTGGGCCAGCAGTGGGTGGGCCCAAGCTTTGTGTGACTACAAGGGGCTCTTTCAGGCCAGGAGAGCAGATGGGTCTGAGGCTCAGAGATGAGACCAAGGACCCTCTAGGAGGGGTGGGTGTCACAAGGAGTAGGTCCTGTGGAAACAGAGCTTTCTCCAAGCCAGAGCAAGGCAGACTCCCTGAGGGCGAGTGAGCTTCCTGTCGTGGGAGGAGTGCTGGTGCTGAAGATGGGGAAGCTGTGTTCTGATTACCTGTGGGCCTACTGAGTGACAATCTTTTAAAACTATATAAATACATATATATATTTAAATGTTTTTATTGCCTTTTTTTTAGAGAGAGAGAGAGAGAGAGAGAGAGAGAGAGAGAGAGAGAGAGAAACATTGATGTGATAGAGAAACATCCACCAGTTGCTTCCCATATGCCCCCAACCAGGGATTGAGCCCACTACCTGGGTATGTGCCCTGACAGGGAAGTGTAGCGGCGACCTCTCCATGCACAGGACAACACTCAACCAACTGAGCCACACCAGCCAGGGCTTAACGTATATTTTTATCTTGAAATAATCTCAAACTCAAATATGTGTCAGGCACTTTTAATTCAATGCAGTTTAGGAGATACGTATGTATTGAGCCCTGGGGATACAGCAATGGGCAAAGTGGTTAGATTCCTGTCGTGTGGAGCTGACACTGTTTGTATAACAAACAGGTGTATAGACTATTGTCTCCAGTAGCAGTGAATGTGAGAGAGGAAATGTAGGCAGGTAAGCTGATGGAGAAGGATGGGTGTAGGGGACGGGCAGGGGAGTTTTAAGGCAGGTGGTCCTGGAAGGCCCCTCTGAGGAGGTGGCATTTACCAGAAACTGCAATGAAAGTGATACCGTGGACCATGCAGCTATCTGAAGGGAAAGCAATCTGGGCAGAGGGAATAGCAAGTGCGAAGACCCTGAGGCAGGAAAAGGCCTGCCCTTTTTGAGGAAAAGAAAAGAGGCCAGTGAGGTAGATACATACAGTTCAATTTAATGCCCACAGCTCTCCCAGACTGGGGCCATTGACCATGTTACACAACTGGAAACAGAGGCATGGAGAGGAGCCACACAGCTGGCAAGTGGCTGAGCCAGAATTTCATCCAAGTTATTGACTCCAAAGGATTTACCTTCAAAATAATAATAATAATAATAGTAATAATAATAATAAAAAATAATTGCAGCAACAGCTAAGGTAGGTGTGCCCCTGGGAGTACACGTGTATGTCTATATGAAGGATCAGTATGCTGGCAAGTCCTTGTTTCTCGGGGGCTGGAGTGGAGTCAAGAAAAGGAGGTGATTCCAGGTGTCGGGGTTGAAGCTGACTGTGACAGGGTCTCTGTCACCATTAGCTTCCCAGGCTGGGAAGAGAGGAGTGTGGGCATGACCAGAAAAGGTGCTGGGAGTGCCATTGGGGGGGACCTAATCAGATTTTGCCCAGCCGTGCATGGCAGCTCCTAGCCCAGTGTCTGGCATGTAGTTGGTGTCCAATAAGTAACGGGAAGTGAAAGAAAATGGGAGCAGACTGTTCCAGGGAATGACAAAAAGCAGGGGACGCTCAGAGGATAACCTCTGGAGCTCAGATGGGAGAAGATGCTGGGAGGCCCTGAACCTGGGGGGAGGCTGAAGCCTGACACAGAGAGACCTGGGGAGGAATCCATCCCACGTCTGGATGTAGAGCAGGGATGAACACCCCTGGTGGGGGTGCTCAAGGCCCAGAGGTGGGCCTGGGTGCTGGTTCTCCCAGGGGAGCTTGTTAAAAGCTTCTTCTAGGAAGCCAAAGGGCATCACCCCAACATCTTTTGGGGTTGCAAAGCCCTCTGGTGCCGCCAGTACCCTGGTCAGGAGAACATAGGAGGTGACCTGGATGCTCAGTTGCACCTCCAGCCTCAGCCCAGGCTCTGGCTGGGTCCCACCTCCAGGGGCCCCTGGGACAGGCTGGCAGCTGGAGGTCCCCTAACCACATTACTCAAGGGGCAGGAGAATCCTGAGATGCACAGAAGGCCAAACCCCAGCTTCCAGTTCTGCAGGGACTAACTTCATCAAAACCCCTATACAGCATTAACCACCTGACCTCTGCCCCTGCCGACCTGCTAATTTCACCAATTACTGGCCAGCCGAGCTTGTATCAAGTGGGCCTGCTTAGCTCTGACAGCTGCTGGGAAAATCCAGTTACGGCTCAGCAGCCCAGGTGGTTGCATGTTCCTGGGGTTGGGTGCCCAGCAGAGATCTGGGTGCTTGGAAGGCACTGGTGTTCCTGAACATTCCAGGAACCTCAGGGCCAGGGCTCCCTGTCTGCGCTGCCTTCCTTTCACCAAGCCTC